TCCATGTTTTACAAGTCCATGTTTTACAAGTCCATGTTTTACAAGTCCATGTTTTACAAGTCCATGTTTTACAAGTCCATGTTTTACAAGTCCATGTTTTGCAAGTCCATGTTTTACAAGTCCATGTTTTACTAGCCCGCGTAGCAGGCGGTAGAAGCTAGAAATACCGCCTGCCCAAAAACTACACATTCTGAGTTCCGCCCACCGATAGCATGGTCCCGCCCATCTTACAGGTAATGTATTTATTTGTCGAACTCACGTATTGCACCAGTGCAAATATACGGCTTTGACGTTTCATGGCCTTTCATATCTTCGGTTCATTCAATGCTACGAAGACAAAAATACCACGTTCGATTCAGGCTTTCTGGCATCCTTGTGTAGAAAAGTAGGACAAGAGTAGGACTAGAATTTTAGGAAAAGTAGGAACAAAGTAGGAAAATGTGTAGAAAAGTAGGACAAAAGTAGGAGTTTTGGAAATACAAATAATACAAAAAAATACAAAATTGGCCCCCATATATATGTGGTGAGGGGTAGACCATTAGATATCTGATGGGGAAGTTGTGTGAATTTTTGGTGCTCAATATTTTTTGTATTCATTCATCTATGCAAGATTTGTTTCTCAAAACTTTTAAATTGCATCGGTATAAAAGCTAAGGCATCTGCTCTGCAGCAACACAATTCAAATGAATGTATTGGGCTACACAATGCACCAATCCACACTACGGCAGTAGCGTATATATCAGGGCCGTAGGAAGCTCTTTTCGATTGGGGGGGGGGGCTGAAAGCGAGGGCCGAAGGCCCGAGGAAATTTTTAAATTTAGTCTCTGAAATGCCATTTCCTGGACTTGGGGAAGATTTGACAGAATTCTAATGGTCAGAAAACAGCGTTTTAGTATGTCGAAATTTACAATTCAGTAGTACTAAATGGGCGAAGGCGTATTTAATTAACTATATATTCGATAAGTTGCAGGAAAGTATGGGTAATATCTTCATTCTTTGCAGTTTGCATGTCATGGATTAAAATGATAAAGGTCTGCATTATTTTGAGAGAAAAATGATTATTAGCAAATTATTGGGGAGCTGCAGCCCCCCACCGGTTGCTACGGCCCTGTATATATGATGCTTGATTAACTGGGGGGTGGGGAGTTGAATATTTGGAATCTCTAGATCGTCGGAATTGGCACTTTCAGAGTCTTCATTAATTTATTGATTATGATTCTAGAGATGCTATAAAATTATATACTCGGAAAATGTACTTCTTTTCCTCCTGAGATCTTATCATCTGGAACACAAATAGGGAATAAAAATTACGAGTCATATAGATCTAATTACGAGTGCTATAACATACTGATTCCCCAAGCAGTCTTAAAAAAGTAGGATTATATGAGAAAAAGTAGGAAAAAGTAGGAAAATCAAGCAATTTTTAATAAAAAATAGGAAAAGTGGGAAAGTTGAAGAAAAGTAGGAAAAACTAGGAAAAGTAGGATGGCAAGAAAGCCTGTATATTATCAAATTACACAATTGTCTGAACAAAAATATAGACTAGCCATACCTTTCGCCGAACATAACTTCGGCCGCTTCGGACGTAACTTCTTTGTAATAGTCTTGTTCCAATCGCTATCAAAAACACTACTGAGAGTGTCATTTACGAGTCTGTATCTTCAAATCTGCACTTTTATCACGGTAACACATCTCTAGACTCTATCAAGCAACAAATGTTGGATTGATATTCGTTGTTCATTCTTCAAGACGATGGGATTACCGATTCCAGATAAAGATTAAAGAATTCAACGCTTAATTCTCAATTAATACATTCGTTATTTGTTCGTTAGTGTATGCCATCACTCGATATATCGGTATCAATTTATACGAAAATGAATACGACAACAGTAACTTCTAAAATTAGCACTAATTATTCTAATTCTGTAATACTCCTGTCAATCAAAAATTCAAAATCAACATTCTGACCAATCAGAATGCTCCGTCACCCAGCTGCCGGAGAACTCAGAATGTGTAGTTTTTGGGCAGGCGGTATTTCTAGCTTCCCATTCTCTCGTGCCCGCGAATACCGCCTGCTACGCAGGCTAATGTTTTACAAGTCCATGTTTTACAAGTCCATGTTTTAGAACATGCCGTTCATGCCAGTCCAGTCCAAGGTTCAGTCCATGTTTTACAACATGCCGTTTCCAATGCGTGTGTCACGCCACTAGTCATGTGTGAGTCACATCGTAAGTCACACTCATGAAGCTCTGCTAGTGCGTCACACCTGGAGGCTGCCCCATTTACTGTTCGGAGTACTCGGAACAGTAATTGAATCGAACCGAAAACGGTCACATATGACCATGATTGGTTAGATTTAATTAGTGTTCCAAAAATCCAGAGTACTCCGAACAGTAAATGAAGCAGCCTCCTGGAGTGACGCGTGAGTCACGCTTGTTAGGCTCGACCAATCAGCGTGAGGCGGCATCCCTTTGTTTACTTTTTGCAATGCGCGAGTGATGCTCGAGTTATGCTGTGAGTCTATGCGTGAGTCACGCTCGTCAGGCTCGACCAAGTTTGTTATCTTAATGTACGAGTTAAAACATAATCAGCAGTGTTTTATCAGATATAAAGATACGAGGCGAAGCCGAGTATCTTTAGATCCGATAAAACACGCACTGCGAATGTTTTAAATTCGAGTAATTTTCAAAAAATACGTTGTGTAAGTCGCAGGGCCTTTTTTAACATACAAGCTGAGGGGGCAAATTCCCCCAGTCCCCCCTTGTGCCCCCCCCCCCATGAAATAACATTTTGCCCCCCAGGAAAAGTCCCTTTTTGCTAACGAACCGTTACCGGAATACAACCCTATATATACATACATGGATTGCCATTTCGCACCAAAATACTGTTACGAATTACAATGTAATATTATTTTTGTTCTTTTCAGAACCTGAAAGGGGTGCAGACTTGTCGAAGGGTGAAATAGCTGCCATTGTTCTGGGATGTTTGAGTTTACCCGTCTGTCTCGTCATCGGTTATTTCATTTGTAAATATTGTAAATGCTGTAAACGTCAAAATGGAAGAACTGAAGGCTCACCTAACAACAATATCAAACTAGCTTCAATGAACAAGCACATGTAGGGGTCATGCATGCATGCATAATTTGTTCTTTTTTTCTTTAAAAATCCCTTAAACTTTGAAATATAGCTTGAAATATAGCTTGTCAAAGATATTTTCGATAATGATATTGCTGCGGAAAACCTGTAACTATATGACTGCGGAAAATTAAAGTTGTGTCCGCGGAAAACTAAGTTAACAAGTATCATATTAATATTTCACACTAGAACAACGGCTATAGACTTAGTTTTCTGCAGCTATAAATTTAACTTTCCGCAGCTATAAAGTTAAAGCATGAGTTTTACTTTTGTAATTAAGCCCAATTTATTAAAATTAAACTTTCAGAAACGAAAAAGTGCTTTGACCAGCTATATTTTAAAGTTTAAGGTAATTTTTAAAGAAGAAATGCTACTTGCATGCTACTTGCTTAGTATTTATTCGAACAACAACATTGCGTGTGCAATATTTAATTGCCTTACACTAACATTACAGACCATTCAGTTTGTTACATTACGTTTTATTTGTGGGTTTTGCCTTGCATGCTCAATCGCTTTGACTTTTGACTTTCTACACGTTTAACAATACTACCACAGAATAGGAAGGTACAGCAGAAGTGTAACTTGAGTCGGTTCCTTTAATCCTTTATTGTTTTACGTCCACGAAAATTTTAACACGCTCACGCCATCCTGGCTAGTACAACCGGAAGTTTTTATCAGGTTTTGGTAGGTACAAAGTGCCGGTTGTACTAGTCAGGATGGCGTGATTGATGACGAATTGCTTGTAAAAACGTAGCCTGCTCGCAGGCCGTTGTCAGGCAGAGGCTGCATGGGAGGTACGGCCTGCGACCTTTATTAGTAAAAAGTCGATTTATGCGTACGGAGCGTACGCAAAATTCCCATTGGTCAGAAGTGCCCCATGAGTTAATATCGTGCAAATATTTAACTCGTACGACATTTCGCAATGTATAAAACCATGACTTTGGCGTATAAAACCATGACTTTGGCGTATAAAACCATGACTTTGTTTATCTCTTCGAAGAAGTAACTGAATGTATTTGAGAAACCTTTCAATTTAAATTAACGTTGAAGGATGAGCGAAGGTTAGCAATATTAACTGTACTTCCAACGGGATTTGATAAAGTTTACATGTAATATACCGATACTTTGTCTTCGTCAGCTATAATAATAAACCTTTTCCAAAGAAGTACAAGGGAAAACTTCGATGTATGCCTTGCTGATCTTTGCAGAGAGAGTAAAATAAGGCTAGTTCAGGCTGACAATTTATCTAACTGTGTTTGCATCACTTGCGGTTTCAAACGTTGAAGTGAACAACTTAAGGTTAGCTCAGCGAGACGTTCGTTGAGTCGACACAGGCAGTGAATCAGCTAGTATAAAGCAGTTGATTGTCAAATGCCTCCGAACATTTCTCCCAATACTTCCCTGTCAACCCCAAGGCTTTCTGCCTAAACAATCTGGTCTTGAATAAGTCAAGACAATGGGCAAATTATTAAAACAGACGCCGTCGAGGAAAGTCGTTCTTAGAACACCTGGCCAATTTGAATTTACACCTGGAAATTTTGCAATAGTCGTTTGCGTGTTTTTTGACCGAAGTCCGCTCTCTCTTTGAGACTTTATTTTTGGGAGTCTCAACTAGTGACATATATTATTACAACAAGAGCTTTTTACAAAAATGTAGTTATTAAACACGGCAGAATCTATGCCACGGCCACGGGTTTTCAAATTGTCTATTGTCTATTGAGTTAATTGTATTATTGAGCAAATGACAGACTTCACGCAATAATGATTAATGTTGTTTTTTAGCCTGCTATTGTTCGACACTCAAAACCTAAATACGTTTCCTTAAATCTTACAGTTATATTTTGGATATAAATATATAAAATACATTAACTAATAGAGAGTAAAATTTTACGTCTCTGTAGTATAGTTACATAATTTAAAACGGCAATGTACGAACAAGACAGCAATATACAAACGGGACTATGTTTTAAATATTAGAACACTTTAGGGGAAAAACGACCATGAATTATTTTAGATTAAAGTTTAGACCTTGGAATCCTAGTGAAAGATACAGGCGTAAAATTGCGCGAGAAACTGTTTGTTGTTGTTAATAACCTCTGGTAATCTAATTAACAAAACTTGCTTTGATTGGCTACTAGTTACCGGATATTCAATTATCTCAAAGGGGGCGTATTGAAAAAATATCAATAAAAGTCGCAGGCTCTATATAATAGAGCCTGT